AGTAATAACTGCCATCGCAGCTTCGGTTTTACTAAGAAAACTTAGTAATAACCGCTATCTCAGCTTCATAACTATTTTATTATTAAAAAAACGTTTCTGAAGCTGCAGAGGCATTTTTTTACTAGGTTTCTTAGTAAAAAAACGTTTCCGAAGCCACGAGGCATTTTTTACTAGGTTTCTTAGTAAAATAGCATCTCTGAAGCTGCAGAAGCATTTTTTTACTATGTTTTCTTAGTAAAATAACGTCTCTGAAGCTGCAGAGGCGTTTTTATTATGTTTTCTTAGTAAAATAACATCTCCGAAAGCTGTGAAGGCGTTTTTTACTATGTTTTTCTTAGTAAAAAGGTATTTCCGAAGCTGCGGAGGTGCTTTTTACTATGTTTTTCATAGTAAAAAAGGCATTTCTGAAGCCGCAAAGGCGCTTTTTACTATGTTTTTCATAGTAAAAAAGGCATTTATGAAGCTGCGAAGGCGCTTTTTACTATGGTTTTTTTAGTAAGAATCACTCTTGAAGCTTTAGAGATGACTTTACTATTGATTCGAATCAAATCAAATATTTGAATACTTGATTTGAATTTGATCAAATCAAATCAAATTGCGGAACTCTAATTTTTACTACTCGTTATCAAGAAGATTTGTTTTACAAATTAATATTTAATTGCTAAGAATTCTTTCTATACTTTGAGCAATAATTTGTTTTATAATTTCTTTACAATATTATTATTGTTTAAGTATTTCTTAACTATTTCTTTTGATATTGTATTTTTTCTGAGTTATTTTCTAAAAATATCTTTTAATCATTTTATATGAAGGTTACTTTCGATTATTACTTCTGAATGTTACTTCTAATTATTATTTTCAAATGTTACTTCTGATTATTACTTTCTGTATTTAAGTATTCTTTAAGTCTTTATCATATTTTTACTTTTCTTTCTGAATTTTATTTCTCTATTATTTCATTAACATTTTTTTAAAATTAAAGTTTATATACAAGTAAAATAACTATATTTATTTCCATAATTTAATTGTTTAACAATTAATTATTTCAAACAAAAGTATTCATTTTTATTTGTGTTAAAAGTTTATTTATTAAAATTTTTATTTTTTATTTCAAAAATCGAAGCTCTTCACTTTAGTTCTGCTATTTTACTTTCTACTTCTGAATTCATTTTGTTTTACTTAAAGATGGTATAGCAATTGATTTCAAATTTACAAAATGTTGCAACATAAGCTAAAATTGGTTGCAACATATGTTGCAACATTATAAGTTGCAACATATATAAGTTAAAACTAATTGCAACGTAAGTTGCAACATTAAAAGTTGCAACATATTAATTATAGTTCCCATCTTTAGTTTTACTACTTTGTACTGTTTTACTACTACTTATTTTAAGATTTTATTAATACTGATTTTCTGTTTCTATTATTATGAATTACTAATTTACTTCTGAGTTTTGTGTTCCTAATAACTTCTGTTCTACTACCAATTTCCATCTTTTTTATGATGTTATGTGTAATCTTTATGTTATATAAGCTTCCATGTGATCCAGTTCATTATTTTCAATCATTGTATTCTTTTTATAACCTTCCTGCATATTTATATTACTTCTTTAATTATTATTTTTAAATATTTTTTGTCTTTCTATAAGACCTTCTATTCAGTTGATTAATTATCCATTTCCTTGACTCTTCATTCAGTTCTTTAATTAACTATTTTCTTTCAGTAACTAATTTATCTGAATTATTTCCTTTCTAAATTTATTTATTTTGTATAATCTTCCTTTTCAGTCTGTAATTTATCTGTGTATTCTTCTTTCTTTTAATAAAGTATTATTCTCTTTATTATTCTGCAATTTTATTTGTAATTTGTCATATAATTTTATTGATCATTATCATACTTGTTGCTACACCTTAAATTATGAAATTTTTGACTCTACAACATATATAAACCTTATAAAAAATGTATTATTTTTTTTTTTGAATTTCTTATAAAAAAAAAAAATAAAGAAATTATCTAAATTAGCTTTACTAAAAATAATTTTAAATGTATTATAAAAATTCCTATTTCTAAAATGAAAAATATCATATATCTCTCATTATATATTATACTATTAGCAAAATTTACCTTTGAAAAAATTACTGAGATTCTGATCATAATAATGGAATTAGTGATACCTGCCTAAACTTTTTTTTGAAAATTGTAGTTTCATCAAAAGGTTTATCTCTTTAATATTTTTATATGAATAAATATAAAGTTATTATATTTTTTAATGTATTTTAATTTAAGAATTTAGATCAAATTAAATATAATTTCAGTAATTAGGTAAAATAATTTCATAATTAATAAAAAACTAGTTTCATCATTTTAATTTCATCAATTTCATCATATTAAGAAAGGTAATTTTATCAGGTATTACTAAATGAAATAAATATTAGTTCCGATTTTACCTTTTTTAGTATGATCATTAAATATACTATGATCTTTAATAATAAGTCACAATTATATTGCTGCTAGTACTAACATATTTTAATTCAACAATTATTATAGATTTTTTATTTTCAAAGATAATTTATCTTTATTTTTTCTTTAACAAAAAAGTTTGTAATAAGTTAAAATTTTTTCTTAAATTAATAAATTACCTATTGATACAAATTACTGACAACTTAAAGAAATTGGATATGTAATTAATGTTATGGCTTGAGTTGTTTCTAAATTCAAAATATCTTATAAAATTTACAATATGCAATTATATATTTTCTAAATTAGAAGATTTTCAACATAGTAAAAGAAGATGATCTTATTTATATAATAAAAAATAATTTATTTAGTTAGATTTAAACCAAAAGTTATGCTATATTTGTTTAGCTTCAGACCATATTTTTCATTATTATATAAATGCATTTCCTAAAAATTATCAAAAACTTCAAAATTTATATTAGTATTATCAACCTACATAACTCAAAAACTACTCTTCTTCACCTTCAAATCCAAATCTTAAACAACATAATCTTTCACAAATAATAACAGTAATAATAATAAAAAAGGAATTACATAACAAAATAGATCCAGTCTTAAAGAAATTTTCTTTGTATATGTTATTAATTTTAATAATAATATCTAATGATACCTGCTTAAACTCTTTTTTTAAAAATTTGTAGTTTCATATTTTTATATAAATAAATATAAAAATATTATATTTTTTAATGTATTTTAATTCAAGAAATTCAAATCAAGCTAAATATAATTTTGGCAATTATAGCTAATTTTATAATTCATAAACTATTAATAATTTTTCAATCGCATTCAGTCACAATATTTTTATAATAATTATATTATAAAATATTTTCAGTTATATTTAATCGCAATTTATTAGTAATCTATAAATTATAAAATTAGCTGTAAGTAAAATAATTTTGTTATTATAGCTAATTTCATAATTTATGGATCATTAATAATTTTTTAGTCACATTTAATAATAATAGTTTATAGTAATTTTATTATAAAATATTTTCAATCACATTCAATCGCAATTTATTAGTAATTCACAAATTATAAAATTAGCTATAAGAAAAAACTAGTTTTGTTTATTTTAGTTTTATCAATTTTATTATATTAATTAAGAAAGGTAATTTTATCAGATATCACTAATAATACCTCTATTAATCCGCTATCTATTCCTAAGAATAAACTATTATTCTAATATCTTTCTGACTATTGCTTTATATACAATACTAAATAATAGTATTTATGCAATAGGATCTTAAGCTGATAAAACAGAAAAAGATATTATTTATATCTACTAAAATAGATATTAACTGTTATAACTTGATACTATCTCAACATAACTTAATAATGTCTTCAAATTAAAGATGGCACTGTAATTAAGAAGTTGCAACTCGGTAAGTTGCAACTTGGATTGCAACTGGTTGGAAATCCTTGTAAAATTTATTTTAATATAAAAATTCATAAATAGTTGCAACTAGTTAAAAATTTTTAAATTAATTACAGCTCCATCTTTACTTCGAATCAATATTTGCAAATAACTTTGAATAATCTTGAAATAATCTTAAATAACCTCAAATGACCTCACTTTTTTTATAAATTTCAAGTTAAAATGATCAAGATCACTTGTAATTTGTCATTAGCAACTCTTCATAATAGTTTTAGTTTTACTCTTACTAGTGTGAGTATTATTAAAGCTGTTCTAAATATCACCTTTATCTCTTCTGAATAAGCCAAAATTATTAATTTTAATTTAAATAAAGATTTTTATGATGAAATGGATGAAGAAGACAATCAAAATAAGATTGTAATTGCAGGAATAAACACCTCTAAATCTATTATTCATTAACAAGAAACTCTAGTTATTGAATTACAATTTGAAAATTTTATTCTTAAACAAAATTTAAGCATTAATTTTGACAAACTTATATATGCTCTTATAGAATTAGCTCAAATGCAAAGGATGCTTACCTATCATGAAATAATATTTAAAGAAAGAATAATTCCTATTATAGAACTTATGAAACCTGCATTCTCTTTTTTTTATAGTAAAAAAAATTATAAAGGTATCCTATCACTAAAACAACTTTAATTAATAAATAACATAATCAATATGAATAATGTATCAGATTCTAATCCTCTTTAGATAATTTTAATAATAATCAAATTTTGAAAACTGTTATATATAATGTATGTTCTTTTACAAAACAATTTAAACAACAATTTTTAATCCAACTTTACTATTTTCACTATTTGGATATTATTGATATTATTAAAAAATAAGCATTTAGTTTATTTCTTTATTTTTTTTTTTTAAAGAATAATGATTAGGATATTTTATAATTATTTCAGATTCTTTACATATGAATAATTATGATTATATAAATGTGATCAAACATTTAATTTATTAGAGGGATTATTACGTTATATATTATAACTTTTTGGTCAATCTAATAATTATCAATAGTAATCTTCTTTCTCTGAGACAATAAACAAAATGTCAATTTCATCAATAAATTTTCCAAAATGGCTGGAAAAACATAGTGATAAATTACGGCCCCCTATTAATAATTTTATATTACAGCATAATGATGATTTTATTATTATGGTTGTTGGAGGTCTAATACTTGAACTGATTATCATATTAACCAGACAGAAGTATGAGATTTTTTTTTAATAAAGGTTTCTTGATTGATTAAAAATTCATTTATATTCATAATTATATATATGTATATATATAATAGGAATGGTTTTATCAGTATAAAGGAGAAATGTGCTTAAAAGTCGTTGATAATGGGAAATTTAAAAACATCCCTATTGGGAAGGGTGAAATGCTCTTATTACCTGGTAAGGTTATCTGTTTTTTTTTAATTGGGCTAATATTTTTCTTTGATCAATTAATTATAGCTAATACATTATATAATCCCGTTTGATTTGCTAATATGATTGGTATTGTAATTGAAAGACGTTAAAAACTGAAAGAAATTAGTAAATTAATGAGACCACTTTTTTTTTAAAAAAAAAATCTTTGCCTTTTCTTCTTTCCATTTTGTTCATTGAAGATTAACTTCGATGGTATTGTACATAATGTAAAGAAATGGTTTATGAAGAATCATTTCATTGTACAGATTTTGTATACAACTTAAATCTATTATTCAAAAATATGCTGCTAATGAAGAGCTAAGAAAATGTAAATCTTGTGAACTTATTAATCTTGCTAAGTAAATCGATTGATGGATTGATTGAAAAGAGAAACAGATATTTTTTTTATTTTTTAAAAAAATTATCCTTATCGGATTTTAATAGAATTTTATTTATAAACAAAGTAATCATAATTTTTTTTATTATAATAAACAATAATGTTTCGACACCTAGTAAATGTTTTACTTGGGAAAATCGACATTTCACATTTTGACATATTCACCTTCATGACAGATCAAGACTTGGTCGAATATTATTAAAGGCTTCACAATGCTTTCTAAGACAATAAATCACATATCGTGCTGAGAAAATCATATGAATAATATTACTGAATAATAATATTTTTTTTTGGTATTTATAATAATTAGAGCTCCTAATGAATCGAGTTGACTCACGAGTCAAATGAGTTGACTCAAGTTTGAGTCGAATCGAGTCAAAAATTTTCCGACTCATTTGACTCGAATCAAGTTGACTCAAGTTGACTCACGTGAATTGATGTTACATGAATTACCATTTTGGAAATTTTGTGTAACTCATTTTTGGTGATTTTCCAATTTTTTGATAGCCAAAATTTTCCTTTTTAGGAATTTGTATAACCATATATATCTATATTTGGAACTTTTGTAACTCAATTTGGTACCATTTCGGAATTCGAAAATATACTGGTTACGAAACTTTAATTGAATATTTTTAACATGTTTTCTTGAATATTTTAGCGTCTAGTGATCCGTTAGAAAACTCTCTCTCCCACCATGCCTATTACTAAACAAAATACAAAAATCTCAAAAAATTTACAAACGACTCAACCTTATCCAACAAACTTTATAACAAACGACAATAAAAATACAGAACAAACAGCCTCTACTTTACAAAAAAACAAATCAAACGCCTTAGACAGTACAGTTACTAATAAAAGAACAAAAATCTCTAACGAAGTTCCTCCTTTGACGATCGAAAATATCATAGACTCGATTATACTTACACCTTCGTCTAAAATTGACATAAGTTCTTCTGAACATCAAACTTCACCTTCTACACAACAACAAGAACTCACAAATACAACTACTATATAAATTAATCCAACAACTCTCACTAAACCATTAAATATTACAACCAACGCTTCAATGCATGCTAATCAACAATCACCTACTTTCTCGCAACAAAATAACTACATCTCCTCAATAAATGACAAAGGAAAGCAAAATACAATGAGGTCAGATGAAGATATTTACGAACAAACATTTGAAACCAAAAAATTAATAACAAAAAGACAGACACGAATAATTTAATGATTATTATGTCACCAACGCACTTCTATGCGTCCACTGATTCAAAAGATGTGAATGATTCATATATCGCTAAAAAACGTTACACTATCAACAAATTATTCAGCTATTTCAATGATTACAAGGGATCGTACTACAATATGAAACAAAGAAAATTCTATATTTACTTTCAATCCTATGACTTCCTAACGCATGCAACCAAAGAAGTCAAAGAATCACAACACAATCCAAATTTTTTGGTAATAGACCCAAATGCTAAACAATAACGAAAGGATGATGAAAAAGGACGATGCATAAAAGTTAATGACATATCACTTTTTGTAAAATCTGATATCGTCAGAAATTGGTTTGACAAATTTAGAAGGATCTGCAGATTTTCCATAATTACAAGGGGCCTGTGGCAAATAGCATTTATCATATATGAATCTGCAGATACAATTACAGATTTCTATGATAACAAATGGTCAACTTCTTTATTAGAGTTCCTAGTTAGAGTTGAACCAACTGACCTCAACGAACTACAAACTGCGCTAAGACAACAATTTGAATTGAAACTCACAGGGCTTCCTTACAATACATCTTATTTAAACTTAGCTGATTTTTTGGTACACATAAACGCAAAATCATGTTTCATTTCTAGAGATCGTCAATATCGATTACGTCCATACGCTTACATTAATTTTGATAATGAAGATGACTATAATACCGCTTTTAATTCTCAACAAAAGTTCAAAAATCGCATATTATATTGGGTTACATCAGGGATATATCATTGCATTCAGTGTGGGTCACCTGATCACGAAACAAATAACTGCAAAGCACGCCAAACCAAAATCCTTTTAAACCCTTATATGATCACTTTAAACCTGCACAGTATCAACCTAAATCTAACCCATTCAGACCTCCTAATTCAAGTTCAAACTCAAATGGAAATTGTTCTTTCATAACTTCGTACGTAGATACCATTCATAATAATACTAGCCAAACTGCAACCAAAAATGTTCCTGTTCAAAACCGACCTTCTCCAACTAAGTAACTGTTACCAGACCAAACCAGCCTAAATCAAATTATAGATAACCTTACAAAGCTGAAACAAAAATTCAAAACTCTATCTGATGATCTCATTGCTACGAAAAATATTAGTAAAGAATTACAACAAGGTCAATTGAACCTCTTCATGCGAGTGGAAAACATTGAACAACTTTGTCATATTTTCCCACTAGATCAACAAAATAATTCCAAACAACACATTCAATTCATGGATTTAGATAAATCCGAATCAAATAAAAAATCACAACCTATTCTTTCCAACCATCCCAATTCAAACGAAAAAACCATTACTATCACATAATAATATTATCGAATTACAAGAACAAAAAATCACCTCGCTTCAAGAAAATTTTAATAGTGCAAAAGAAGATTTAATCAAATCAAAGCCGCTATGATACAATTCTTTCAATCGAATTCATCCAGCTCAATATGAATACTATACAACAAACAGATATGTCTCTTTTTACGGGCTATATGATCAAGATAATAATTTCAAAATAGTCACACATAATGTCCGAAACTGCATAGCAAATGAAAAACACAACCAAATAGAACGATTTTTTACTGAAAATAATTTAGATATACTAGGTTTGTTTGAAACTCATCTAACACTACAACATTCATACTCAATAAAACAAAATTTTCAATCTCCCAACCTTCCATATAAATACATCTTATTAAATGAAAATTGCTTCCAAAATTGTTAAGGGGTCAGTTTTTTTGTCAGTTCCTTTATAGAAAAACATATCTTCAACTACCAAGGATTTTATGACAGAATTATTTTCATTGATCTACAAATGAAAAATAAACAAAAACTTAGAATCATTCAAATTTATCTCCCTGCCGATACAAAAACTACTAAAGATCATCTGTTTAGAATCAAAATACAAAATAAGCTATTAGATATAATATTAAAGGCCAAATCCAAAGGATATCACCATGTTCTTATGGGGGACTTTAACATCAACGTTAAAAAAAATTATTCAACAACGCAGAAAAAGTATATAAAAATTATATTTCACAACTAAAAAATTTAGGAATGATTAATAATCTAAGTTTATTTTATACAACATACCCTACAACATATTTCTCTCATAACTCTTCTTCATCTCTTGATTACATCTTCTCTTTAATATCTCTTATACACGATTTTATCCTATCCACATCTCTTAACAGTCAGTCGTATAACTATAATTCTACTCACACTCCATTAATTTCTTTTTTTTACAAAAATATCTTTTCAAACAAAAAGCTAATGCATTACTCAAAAAGGGCAAACTATCCAAAACAAAATTCTTATATGAGCAGACTACAAAGGAAACATGGAAAAAGTTCTCTTTGAAGTTAAAAAATCTTCTTGATCATGAGAAAGACTTATGTTCATTCACCAAGAATTCTCTTCCAAAAAATATTTCTACCCTAAACTGAGTTTGGTCCCAATTTAGTAATACTATCATTAAAGCCGCAAAATCCATACTTCTCAAACAAACGACTACCAACTAACATTCTACCAATTTTATATATAACCATAATCACTAGTACACATTTTTAAACAAACTCAACAAATTTTATCATTCATGTTACAAACAATTTAATTTACAGTTAAATTTCAATCTCATAAATTACAACAAATTTAAATATATTGTTAAAAACTTAGATAACCTCAAGATTCCTACTCTTAATATACAAATCACCTATGACAACAAATCATATCCTTCACTTCTTTCAAACATCAAAGATGCTATAATTGTCCTTAAAACTAAAATTTGATTAACTGACAAAATAGAAAACGATCAAAAAATTAGGGCTTTTATTCAAAAAAGAATAAAGAACTTTAGAGATAACCCTTCTGCAATGATAAACTCTTGTCTAGAACGAAAAAAGAAAACAATTATATTAGACCGCGTTCTAATTAAAAAAGATGGTCAACCAAGTTATCTCAAACTCGATCCTACCAAAGTTATGGAAGAAACCAGCCATCATTTTCAAAATATTGCTGATTCAGAAAACTCGACGAAAGACTTACACTCCTTTTGGAATCTCTGGAAATCAAATTACGATGGTCTAGAACATATCGACGAAAATATTTATGACACATTACTCGATACACCTACTTATAATGAATGGATCGAAATAATCAATAAACTTTCAAATGACAAAGCTCTTAGACTATCGGGGGTGACTTACGAATTGATCAAACATTTTGGAAAGACAGCTTATAAAATTCTATTCAAAATCTATGAACTATGCTCTGAGCTAAATGACATTCCCACTGGTTAGAAAATTGCTTACGTCTACCCAATTCACAAACTGAAATCTTGACATTGTGATTTAAATAATGTACGACCAATCACATTACTCGAATTAGCTAGAAAAGTATACATTAAACTCATGACTATAAGACTCTCGAACATTTTAGTCGAACACAAAATCTTAAAGGGGTTGAACTTTGCTGGATTACCCCACAACTCAACTACTGATCCTCTTCATATAATCAACAACATCTTAGAATCGGCTCGTTCTGATAAATTTCAAGCTTATTTAGCAAAAGAGAATAAACATATACAAAATTTAAACATTTTCTTCCAGGACATGTCAAAAGTGTATGATAGAGTTAATATTTACATATTAAAAAAAGCCTTAGCTTGCTTCAAAATACCTAGTACCTTCATAAACCTCATTACGAAT